CTATTTTAATTTCAGCAGAAAATTTTCATCAAAATTCTCATACATCTGCAAACATTTTTACGTGCTACAAAACAGTCTCTCTGGTAACCTAACACCATCACAGTAAATCCTGTGTGTTAAATGTTTGAATTGCATACATGACAAAGTTTGATAGAATATAAATGTGAACTTTAGTACTAGCTAAATCTAGAGTGAATAGAAACGTTAAAATGATAAGTGAAGTACAATAAAAAGTAACAGTTGATTGATAAGTTCGTTGCCTTCATACGTGAGTTCAGCTGTGTGTTCAGTTCATACTGTCTTTGAAAGGGATGAAGTCTTAGGTCCTGTAGGAAAGCTGAGCTTTTTAACTTTACAGCAACAAGCAGTAAGAATCCAGAGGGAATTAATAAGCAATAAATAGAAAAAAGTTACAAAGATTTCACTTCAGATACAAAAAATTTGTGTATATTCTGTTATTTTTGCTTTCAAACACCATGGAAACCAGATGAATTTTAAAGTAATTTAAAATGTTGGTTGGGTTGAGCAATTTAGCTGGGAGGGGGAAATTAATTGAAGAGATGGATCTGAAATAAGCATTTGCTTAAAAGTATCAGTTTAATAAAAGGAATGTCTTTAGGCAAGAGAACTTCAATCTGCACAAGACAATGTCAAATTCATCCTCTCCCCTCACTGACCACTGTGTCCACACGTATATATAATTTTCATAGATAAAGTTCAGTAGATGTGTAGTAATTGATGAATTGTTTTAACATACATTAGTGAGGTGATAGAATTCCATGCTAAAATCAAGTGTAGTTTTGGTCTTTTCAAGTTTAATACAAAGCAGAATATTGCTGTTGCATAAGGTCCTTATTCTGAAAGCTTGTTATTTGTTGCCACTGTCTTTTGTCAAACTCCATTGAAAAATGTCAAGGTACAGTTGATTCCTCAGCTGACATTAACCAATGGAAATGAGATGTCTCACAGGACAGAAAGATAACTTTTGCTTGCATACTTAGGATAGAAAACAACAGGTTTTTTTACCTGTTGTTTAAAAATAAGGTTTTGGGGGAAAAAGAAAACAACTTGGCAGGATTCTGTGTATATGAAATCTAGCCTTTAAATGATAGATATCCATAACATGGAATAAGAATGAAAAATTTGAACCCATTAAGAGTAAGTATGCTGAACTTTTCCACTTTCTAATCAGTTTCAGCTTTACTCTGTAAAACTGTCTCACTAGAGAAAAACAACTTGGTCCTTTGCATTATAATTTAGTGTGAGTTATAATACTCCAGTATCAAAACCTGAAATGTGGCACTGAAAATGGATAACTGATATTAATTCTTTAGCTACTAAACTTTTCAACTGTGACTCACTCAAACCCTTCTAATTCATTTGTACCTGTAGGTAAATATTGAACATACTGTGACCCTTTTACAGATTTTTTTTCTAATATTTTTGATTTTTGTATAGTATCACTTCTGTTTTTTGAACTGTTCTGCTCCACTGTCATAATTGACTCAGTTTAAAAGGAATTTTAACTTTTCAGGAGAAAAATTCTTTTATTTAAAAAAAAAAAAAATAATAAAAAAAATAAGGCTAAAACAGTAAAAATTCACAGTGATATCTGATCATTAGGTTTCAGTAGGATTTTTAAACATGCAGCCATGCCTGCTTCCAGAATACTCTTTTGCATTTACTAATGAAATACTCTTTTGTTTTTACTAACTTTCAAGTTAGTCACCTAAGAACAGTTAAAACAATTTAAGAGAACAATCACTAACTACTTCAGAAATATAATGGTGGTGTAAATTATGATACTTATATAATGGTTTAATAACTGCCCCAGGTGTAAGCATAATAAGAAATTACAAGGAAGAAGAATGATGATTCCTTCCTTCCACTTTCTTAGATACACTGATATTAATCCACAATAAAGGACAGTCTCATCTACAAAATGGGAACATGAATCTGGGCTCCAGCATGCAATCAAAAGATAGAAAAACTTATGATGGAATTGACACTTCAGGCAGAGTTTTTAAATTACATTAGATTGCATCAGAACATAAACTAAAACATGTAGCATTTTAAAATAACAGGAAATTTAAGGAGACCAAATTGAAATAAAACATTTATAAATCAGCACATCTCAATCTCTTACATATCCTTTCAGGACTACTTTCCCCAGCGTTCCATGCAGGTGATGAACAGCTCCCCCATCTCTTCTAAGGCTTCCAGAAGGGTGTTTCTTTGCAACACTTTGGAAATCTGAACCCTTATTCCTTTCAAGACTCAACTCCACCCCAGGAGCTTCTTATACTCTCCCAAATGACACACCCCCTGTAGAGAGGTCTAGTTACCAAGAAAATATTTAGGTTGCATTTACCCTGACCATTAATACTATTTATCTCATTTGCTTATTTAACATTTATCCCATTTTTTTGTATATGAAATACATGTTTTTCCTGGTTTTATATTGTATCCTGTTTACCTTCTAAATAAGATTCAATTGGGGCTTTAAAGCCAAGCAATTAAATACTACAGTTGAATGGATCATAACTATAATACTTTTTCAACCTGGCTAAACCTCCTCACATCCAGTGGAATGCAGTGAGAAGAAACTGTAGCCAGCTCCAATATGTCGCTGTACCTGTCAGTCAACAGAGTAAAAAATGATGTTGCTAAATACAAAGCTAAACAATGTTTATTATTTTATCAATATGCTTAGTTGGAAAAGATAATATTTATTTTTCTGGTTAAATCACATTCTCTATAATAAGCATATGTATAGTTTTATATTATGAATGTGTTATAAATCCTGGACTGTCATTTCTTAGGAGACTAGTATACAGTTAAGGGTTTAAATGTGACTTATTATTTGGAGATATCTGCAGATAAAGATACTGGTTCCATAAAAATTATGTGATTATTATTGCCAAACTATCCATCCTCTACAAATAATTTAAACAGAAGATGCCAGATTAGAGCTTTGCAGAAGCTGCCAGTTCTGTCTTGTAGTAACATTTAAGACTTTGACATTTTTAAAATTATAGACTAGAATAAAAGCAAGATTTAAAAAACATTTAGGTGAAAATTAAATCTCAGTGCATAGATTTTCTCATGAGATTTTCCACTCAGTAAAAAAGAAAAAAATTACATACACCCTTATGCTTAGAGCACAGGATTCAGAGACATGACAGATGCAATATTCCACATTTCAATTTATGCTGACAAGAGTGGTAATGTAAGTCAAAATCTCCCATGTTGTATAACAAAACCCTTCCCATGAAGTTGCAGAGCACTTAAGAATTTTTTTATTTTATTTTAGCTAAGTCAGAATTTCCAGAAAGTGACAAATCACTGAAACGAGATCCCTTAGACACTGATGTCACTGCACATTTAGATGACAACCAGAAGTGTCTATCAGTTCTCTCGTACTATTTCAGAGGGAAGGAGAACCTCTTGCTAAGTCACTGGAAAATTAGCTCAAACCCTTGAAATTTCACTAAAACTTTATAAATTATGTTAATAATTTTTGGTTTCCCCATTCAACTATTTTAGGAAGAATAACAGCACAGATCTTCAGTTGATGACTCCTGGTATGTAGACCATTTCTTCAGAGTAGCAGGCATCAATTAGAGCACCATTCCTGTTCATCCAACTTGTAGTGGAAATTTGAGAAGGTGACAAATCAACCACGTAATTCTTCAAGTAATGTTACAGCTAATTTCTTGCAGAGTTCAACTAGGTAATTCAAAAGCGTTGTGAATGAAGGTGATTACATGTTGAGCTGTAAACATAACTTAAATTTATCTTTATCAGTATTTTTTCCACATTTTCTTTTATTGAACTTGCAGTAGCTAAAGCTTAGATGTTATGAAGCAACAATACACACTTTCATAAAACCTTTCATTAAGAGACAGCTTCTTTTATATCAGTCAAATACTTAAGATAAGACAACCACTAGCTGGAGCAGAAAGAAAGATAAAATATTTCAGCATTCAACTACAGAGTAGAGAGAAGAGCTTTGATTATGATAATAGTAGAAGCAAATTCTGGAGCAAGACCTATCAATAGTAGCTCTTAAAAGCTTTGCCAAATTAAAATAAAGTACAAGATTTTATGGTGAATTCTTTTTAAATTCCTTAATATATTGTCTTTTCTTTTATAAGCCACAAAAAAATCACAGCTCTATGAAGGTAGCAGGAAAATTTTTTTGTTAGGTTACTTCAGAACTGAATATTAAGATGTTCCTTGGAACTTTTCCTACTGTAAAACAGCCACTAACACAAACAATTGACAATATAGCTATATATCTTATAAAAATTACTGGGTTTTTAACTATTAATAGGTTTTTCTTGGAAGCTGAAGAATGTGAAAGAAAGATAGGATTTGCTGTCTCACATTGGATACCAGAGCTGTTGAAGCAGTTCTTTTGCTTCTCAAGGTACATGATTTAATAAGCTTTACAGGAAAAGTCCCCTTAATATGCACAGAGAGAATTATGTGCTAGTATTTATGTTGGTCAGTGAAGAAGTTCTGACCCATGCAATAATCAGATGAGAATTTAGAGCAGAGATAATTCTGTCATTGGATAGTCTTGCTATTGATTAAAAGATCATCTATTCTAAGAAGTACAAAAAAGAGGTAAAACCATTGTAAATATACATCAGTGTGAATTGCTTTTCAAGAACAGCAGGTTTTCTAGATGTGTTGTTTATTAATTTTCTAGGCATTTTTTCTTCCTTGTACATGGTATGCTACCAGACTTAACACATGGTTTAAAACTAAAACTATCTTTAAATGCAAGAAAATAATATTTCTGAGACTATTTGTGCTTAAAGGTTTTGCAGTGCTGAGCCAGACTGAAATCTGCAGTGCCAGTGTTTCTAACTATCTCAGAAACTCTAAAGAAGAATACAAGCTGACTGCTGCCCTGGAGCATTGGATGGAGTCAGCAAAGGATGATTTTACAGTATGAGTTATAAAGAAACAGACACAAAAAGACACAGATATTTACTTTGAATAAGAATTTTATTTAGTCTCAGGGTATTTCTGCTATCACGGCAACAGTCTGAAACAAGTGACAAATTCTCAGTTCCAGGAACTTCTCAGTGTTTGTATGTATGTGTGTATAAACATGTATAGTGTATACACACAATCACCTACACACACACGCATGTATATTTATATGTATTTGTTAACACGTAGCCAGATAAGGCTTGCAGAGACCCCTTTTTTCTTGAAGTCTCACCTCAGTAGTAATTGGGCTGACAAGAATTTACTTACCCGTTACATTTCCCATTAACCAAAAATTGCAACTGATGTAATGTGGTTGCTACCAAAATAGTGCTTACAGTTGTGCAGATTTTGCTACACACAAATAAGAGTTGGGGAGAAGGAAGCATGACTGGGAAACAGGACAAGAGCAGGATTAACAAAAATGCAGGCTTCCATCCTGTTTACTATAAACAAATGTTTTAAAGTAACCGTGCTGTATTTTTCACCATGCGCAGCTTTCATAAGAGTAGAAGAGACTCATTTTACATCCCAGTGACCTAGTTTTCCAGGAGGAAGGGCCTCATATCGTTATGCATAACCCAGCAGTTTTGAAACCAGCTGTAGAAGAGAAACACAGAGTAATGAGGGGAAGAAGGACTACAGGGATTCAAGAGTTAGTACACTAGTGAAAATGAAGCTAAATATGCCTGCAGGCAGCGGCAACTCTAATGCTTCTGCAAGAGTGACTTAAAACTCAAGAGGCAAAGGATGTAAATTTCTAGTGGGGGCCAAGCCCATTACTCCTAAATAAAATCTACCCCTGCCTGCAATGCATGAGGAGATAGAAAGAAGACAATGCATTGCGAAAAGTTCATTTTCATCTCTTAGCTAATTTAGTAACAGAAGGAAGAGAGCAAGCTAACAGCTGTATCAAAGGGTGAAAAGAGGCAGGCCTCAGATTCATGAATATGATTTCCCAAATACTTTTTGACTTTTGAATGCTTCAGGTCCCCTTAACATATTTACAGTTATGTCTCTTTAACAAATCAATCTATAATACTGTCCCAGCTGCTTAGAAGGAAATTTTATTTACCATCCCCTTGTAGTTAGAAGGTGCAAGTATTTTCTCTGACTTAGTCTCTTTCTGCTGTCTCACTTTGATCCTCATGTAATGTTCCTGAGCCAGGATTAGGCACGTGACTGAGCAATATAAAGTAATTCTTCTTGTTAGGAACCTACTTTTCCAAAAAGAGCTAAATCACCAAAGAAAATAAAAACCAATAATGTTTTTAAACTTGAGTGAAGTTAATAAGTGCTGGAAAAAGCCTTAGGCAAAGCTGGGATTTCTGTAATATAGTAAATGATTAATGTTTTGACTCTGAATCCTTGTTTCGAAACTATCAGTTTTGTACTTTAAGAGAAAGGAGGGAGTGGAAGTGTAGATCCAGGGTGAATCCAGTAAGTATCCTTAAAAATGTCAGGAACTGTTTGTAAGAAATTGGGTTAATACTCTGTTCCATATTTCTACAAAAAAAATAAAAAAAAATAAAAAAAATATAAAAAAAATTATAGGCAATCTTGCCTTAGCTTATACTTCCATCCAGGCAGCTCACTGCAGAAAAGCAGCTGATATACTCTGCCCAATGTCTGAGCATAAATGAGCTCCACTCTTGACTTTTTATTACTTCATTTTAACACTGATAACAGGTCAGAGAGGGAAAGGCTAAATGTAGTAGTTTCAGGTCATGCCTTCCTAATAGTCGCAAGGCCTGTATACTTAACCAGAAGAAATTTAAATTATTTTTGTGTTAGTCATACTGTGGGGAGTTGCAGTGTCAAAATTATTTAATGACTTTGGATTAGCCACATCTTATTCTATGTGAGCCTTACTGTTTATCTCTTATGTCAAGGGCTGTGTGTGGGAACTGTACTGTGTGAGATGCCCAGTAGTAGACCCCTTTTCATATAATAAATATTGTTTTTGCATCCTCTTGGTATGAGATTACTAATACTGGAACAAGAACAAGTCTTAGATATTCAATAAACCACATTCAGATGCTGTCTGAGGTTTGCTCATGTGTGGGCATGGCCAGATTTCTGTTCTATACCACTCACCCCATAGACGTGGGCCATGATTTTGGAGGGAGGAACAAAGGACCCTATCTCCAGGAGTGCAGCATTTTATTTGCCCTCATGATCAGGAAAATTAACTGTGGACTCCCAGGACCATCACTGCAGACTCTGTCCCTCCAGTGCTGCCATCCAGCCCTTCCCATTCCTCTGAGACAAAGCTCTGAGATGCGAAAAAAACATCCAAGATGCAATTCCAGGATACAGCTCCAGAAAAAAACACAGCAGCAAACCATGGTGAGAAGAACCAAGCCCGAGCTGAGCCTGATCCCAGCCAAGCAGAGCAGTCCAAAACAGTGGCATCATGCAGTGGATGATCCAGCTCTCTGGGGCTTCATCCATCAGTTTTTCATTGTCTGGAATCTGGGGACACGAAACACTAGCCACAGGAGCACCTGAGACCTTGTGTTTGTCTCAGCAGCAGTGCAGAACTAAGTTGAAGCGGTGATCACTTTTTGTGTGAAAAGCACCTTCTCTTTTATGATCTTTTGTTAATATTTTTGATATTGCTGTTAGTTTCTTATTCCACTGCTGCTGGGTTTCAGAAAATTGTTTAAACCCTTAGTCTCTGTCTTTGCACTCTCTCACCAGAGTGGGCTGGGGGGAAGGAGAGTGGCTTATTTGGAGTTTAAATCCCACCTGGTGGCAAACCACCATGGATACCATAAACACATACTGTAGATTTAATTTAAATATGTAATAGCATTCATTGTAAGCTCCCCCTGCAGCCTTAAAATTCCCATTTTTCACTCATTTTCTTTCTCAAATTGATTCAACATCCAGGGGAACTCCTACCTTCTTAGTAGATTGGCACAGGTTGCCAGGTTTGTATGTAACATCTCAGATGATTCCAGAGAAATAAACACAGGTGGGGTTAGACTTTATCTGCCTCTTCCCAAAATAGATGTTCTATTGATCACATACTGTAAGTAGGCACTTCAGGATCAAGCGATAGGTTCAGCAGAAAAATAGACAAAAAAGCAAAAGATCAAAAGATGATCAATTAAAATGAATAATACCTGTTCTTTTGTTAAGATCGCTGTTACTGATATGACAATCAAAAACCACCAACACATTGTCAGTGATAGATAACAGTTGGAAAAAACTCATGCAATCTGTTACTTGTGGCATAATGTCCACTTTTTCTCCCACTTGATCTTAAATAAATATCACCAGACATAAAATCTAGATGTAAGGAAATACATTTTTTAAGTCCCTGAAAGTAAGAGATTTGTAGAAAACTGCTAATTTAAGGGAGTGTTTGTGTTTTTTTCTTAAAAAGTTTAATTATCCTTCAGAAAAGTCACAGATCCTATTTTTTATTTCTTTTTAATTACGGGGTAAGACTGGGGTTTATTTTTAACAGTCTGATGTGTTATATAATTTCTAGAGTCCATTCCAGAAACATCTATGATTATGGTTGTACGGTGCTGATTCTCATGCTCAGATGTATGAACCATGCAGCCTGGCATCATTTCATCTTCTGTGACAGGCATCAGTTTCCTTATGAAAGGTGCTAGAGGAGAGATGGCAATTGAACTCCCTACTAGGGATGAGAGGGGGCAGGGATAGGTTGCATAACATTTGGATTGAGGCAATATTGAGTCTATGAGTATGGAAGTTTTGCTTATAATTCTTTCTTATTTTTTCTGTTTTCTCTATAATTACGGGTGTTCTGGCCATCTGTAGAAACATTCAGTTTATGAATTATTTCATTTTGTTTTTGACATTCATGTGAAATTGTGTTTTTCTACCTAATCCTGAGCTGAATGAAGACAGATGTCTTATAAGTTTCTTTAAGAACACTTTTATCAGCCATTCCCTGCTTGTCATGCTATGAACACAGCTCAAAGGAAGTGCTCCAAGCCAGGTTAGCCAAATTTGAATATCACTTATCCATGGGAATGTACTCATGGCTAGTTTTGACTGCTAACACAGCTCCAGTATCCATGAATTCTTTATTGAACTTTAGTCACCAGTCTGCTTTGTGGGTGCAATACGAAATTTGTGATTCTGTCCTGGAGATGCCATGACAACTTTACTGCTGTGGCTTGGATGTAGCCTGCTGCAAGGTCAGATGGGAAATACAAGCAGACTCAGATGAAGGCTGAATTGACTCTGGGAAATCTGAATGTGGGTGTTGTATATTGGGCATATGTTGGCAGCTTGGGCTCTAGAAGAACCCCAAAGCCAACCAAGCAAGGCTAAACCACCTGCCCTACCCTGTCTAGATCCTTTAATAGATCAATGGAGGGGACATTTTTATCAATTTCCATCTTCTTAAGATTGCTCATTGACAGTCTTAAAAAAAAAAAAAGGTAATGGTAAAATCTTCCTTTTGTGTGTGTTCAAATAAAAAAAAAATGAAAATTTATAATTTTCTGTACAGATAGCACTAGTGCTTTCCATAAAATCTTTATCTCATTACTCCATTAATCTACATCAAAAGTTGCTAAGATTCATGGCCAGGGAAAATATTGAAGAATAGTTTTGGCACAATCACTTATGCAAGTTCAAGTTTTGAAAAATTATGGTTTTTAAATCATAAAGATTTTCTCTCTACTTTTGAAACTAATATGAATATCTCCTTTTTAATAATAAAACACATAAAATATTTTTTCACAAGTTATGTCAGAAAAAGAGCTATGCTGGAAGAGTACAGATAGTCATGATAGAAAAAAACTTTAAAAAGCTCAGTCAATCTAGACACTATTTTCTACATTTCAAAACTACTTATTTATGATCAGGTTTACTGAGCCAGAAATAAAAAGAACAAAATATTTTTACTTCATTTGGACAGAAAGTCTCATTATGTTGCTTGTTGAAACATTGCACTTGGATTCTACACAAATTTTGCTACATATGCTAAAAAATTAAATTAAGTAGTAAAGGGTGATATTTTTTACTTTTCCATATCCTTCCAAGTTTAAAATATTTTAATTTAAAGCTGACTAAGAACTTAAATTACAACAATACAAAATAAAGATTTTTTAGGTATGGAAAAAATTCAAATGAGAAATGCTTTACATATCTCTTTTCACAGTGAGACTGGCAAGTACAAATCAAATTAAGTGAATGTTTTTGAGAGGATCTAGTAAAAAAATCAGCCACAACCAGAGGAAAATGCCCTAGAAAGTCATAAACTGGGGGGGATAGGGGTGGGAGGGAGGGGGATGATTTTAAAAAAAGAATCAACTGAAAATCTGGCTCCTGAGTAACAGAAAGCAAAACACAAAACCAGCCAGAAAAAAAAACAAAACAACAAAAAGCAGAAAACAAAACAAAACAACAACAAAAACCCCCAAACAAACCAACAGAAAAAAAAACCCCTTCAGTCACCTTTGGAGCTTTAAGGAAACCAAATTTTTTAAAACTGAAGTGTTTCAGTGCCATCTAACAAGGAGATGTGACATAATAGCCTCAGCTAAGCCCCTTGGAAGGGAATGTAATCCTCTAAACAAAGAAGTAGTAGATTATTCCTGAGAGCACAGAAATATTTCCGAATGAAAAACTGACTTCTGACAAGTAATATAAATGCTTTGCAAATTACAGAAGGTAATTGGTCTGACAATTTCTCAGACTGTTTTCAAAAGATCATCTTTTAAAGATCGAAAGTGCCAATATCCAGAATTCCTTTACTTACCATAAGCAAAGTTACATGGGTATGCACGGTCTTGGCAGATGTGTTTGGTTTGCATGGCTAACAAAGATATGTTTACAGCAGCCTGCCACTTACGTGAGCTCAGAAGGGTTAAACTTCTCAGGTCATTAATACTGGGGAAGAACAGCTTTGCATGGGGAGAATGCAATCTTGATATCAATGCATGCAAGGGATGATCCTCCCACTCTACTCAGCCCTAGGGAGGTCACATCTGTGTCTAGTTTTGGGCTTCTCAAAATGAGAGATATGGAGCTCCTGGAGCAAGGTCCGTTGAGGACAAAAAAGATGATTCAGAGACTGGAGAACATCTCTTGTGAGGAAAGGCTGAGAGTTGGGTCAGTTCAGTCTCAAAAGTCATGACTGACAGGTGACCCCATCAATGTCTGTAAGTACCTGAAGGAAAGCTGCCGAGAGAATGGAGCCAAGATCTTGATGGTGACAAGGAATAAGACAAGAAGCAATGGCCAGAAACTGATGTGCAGGAAGTTCCACCTGAATATGAGGAAGAATTTCTTTACTGTGTGGGTGACTGAGTACTGGTACAGGTGCTCAAAGAGGGTGTGAAGTCTCCCTCCCAGGAATTATTCAGGAAATGTGTGGATGCAATCCTGTGCAATGTGCTCTAGGATGACCCTGCTTGAGCAGGGAAGTTGGATCAGCTAACCACTGTCATCCCGTCCAAATTGACCCAGTCTGTGGGTAACTTTTCTATTTCTGTACTTGCCTGAAAATGAAGTTCTGTGGGAATGATTCAGAAACATTGAGGAAAACATGAATTTGCTTAGATTTGCATGTCCAGTGAGATGGCAGAAATGGTAGAAAAAGTGATATTTCTTCTGTTTTAGACTTAAGACCTCAAGAAAAAGTTGAAGTAGAGAGTTACCTTTTAATTTATCAGATTTAGCACTTTTTCTTCCCATATTAGTAGAACAAAACACAATGCCTGGGACAATATTTTCAATAGTAACAATAACAACAGCACTACTACTACTACTACTACTACTACTACTACTACTACTACTACTACTATTACTATTACTACTACTACTACTACTACTACTTACTACTACTACTACTACTACTACTAATAATAATAATAATAATAATAATAATAATAATAAATCTAAGATATTTTATTTTTTGACAGTGAGTTGAAAGAGGTCTATCATTTGTCTTGATAGGAAATCTCATAATTTTCATAAAACCAAGAATTCTACTAACTTGTAACCCAGTTGAATGATGTAAATTTTCTTATACTTCCCATTTGACAGGGTATTCTTCTTAGCTTCACATGTTATTAAGAATGTGGTATGACTCCTAAACCATTCTCATTTTGAAAAGGTGGATATATTAATTTGATTAAACATTCCATATACAAGGTATGCGCATTACTTTCACATGCTTACTGAGAAAAAATGCTGTGTTAATGCAATCTATAACATTATTCTAAGCAATAGAAATAGACTTCAGAGGAAAAAATGCTTCATTTAAATAATGATTGATGATAGCACATCATGATACAATAACTAATTTCCTGATTGGTTAAAAAAAAGTCAATGAGTGGTTTAGATATTATTGTTCAAGAGAAGGAAATATTTAAGGTTAGATGAAGATTAGTCATGAAGTTCAGACAAGATGCCTACTGACTTTACATACAGTTTAGGTGAAAGTGTAATAGCATTAGCCCTAACAAGTAGTTATTGGAGAAATTTATATCAAAAGGAATCCCACTCTCAGTGCTCGTTGACTATTTTTATCTGGATAATTGATAGACTTTCTGTAAATAACAAAATATATGCTTTATTTAAGGACTCCCCTGGAACTTTAGTGGCATTTAAGAAAAAACTGATGCTTTCCTCTTTTAGAGAACAGCAAATTTCTACAAAAACTTGATTTGTCCTTGAGTACATCTGCCTGTGGGGGCAGAATAAATGTGTTTTCCTTCTTCTGATACTAACTCTTCCTTCTTCTGATGCTTCATGTTTGAATTCCTTCTCAAACACCAAAGAAGTTGTGCAGTTGTGCAAACTGATCTTACTTCCTCGGTCATGTAATTCATTTATGGGGCAAGAGGCTGGGTGGCACAATTTACTTGGGATGGATCAGGTAAGGCTGGCACACAGATGGGATTAGAACTGACTTCAGTATTGTGGTTTAACACACACTGAAGTCTCTAAGTCTTCCCTAGAAGACCAATCTGAAAAGACAAATTTGTTGTTGTCCTTATTTTTGTGGTTTTGAGGGTTTTTAAGATGACTTATAG